GCTGCCCCGCGGGGTACCCCGTGGACGGCTGCCCGGCACTCGGCTTCGGAGCGCAGGTCCTGCGGCGCTGGCGGCTCTTGCCGCCGGCGCAGCTGCAGCCCGCTCAGCGCCTCCCAGGCGCTCCGCGGAACTCGCGCATGATGCTGGACTGCGGCGTCGCAACGTTTGAATCCTTCGCGCCCTGTTCGTGCCCCCCCTTTTCTGGGTGTTGGGCTTGATTCGTTGAGGCGCCCCGAAAGGATGTCGCCCCTGACGCCGATGGCCCCTGCCCCCCAAGCAGCTGCAATCCGCGGCTAATCTACGCTGTGCCCCGTGCTCCGTAGCAGACGGCTGATGCTTCCAGAATCCCGCAACGCCTCGGCCTTCACTTTCTGGAGGCTGAACGCTCCCCGGATCCACGCTGCGGCCTGCTGCCAGTCGCGGGGGCGCGACGCAACGTGGCGGACCGCGCCTCTGCTCCACGTCATGTAGCCAGCTGCATCAGGGATGGGTGGGTTCTATGTTCACCTTCTCCGTTTTGCCAGCGTCGTTCCAGTGGGCAACAATGCCCGGCGCTCCGTCGGGTAGAGCACCGCCTCCATCTGCGCCGCGAGGCGGACCTCCAAGTGGCCCATCGCGTCGGCCAGACCGACGGTACCCTTCATCGCTATCTTCCTAGTCGGACGACTCGTCTTCGTCGTCCTCTGAGTCGGGGTTGGCCGAGCCCTCACCCCAATCGTCGTTTTGACAATCATCGTCGTCGTCTGGCGGGCCAGGGTCGCGCTGCTGCTAGGCCAGCGCCGCCCAGGCAGGCCGGGGCTCGCCCTGCCCCCCCTGGAAGGCGCTGCCCCCGCCGCCGTCGCCGCCGCCAGGTTTCCTGGGGTCAGGCAGGGCATGGCCGGGCCGCCAGAGCGCGCTCCGCTTTCTTCTCCTTCTTCGAGCGGCGCTCTGCCTCCTCCCTGGCTTTCTCCTCCTCTTCCTGAGCCTGCTTCTCAGCGGCGGCAGCAGCCTCCGCGCGCTTCTCTGCGCAACACCTGCCTCCTGGCCTTCGCCTCGGCGTCGCCCTCCGCGCTCCGCATCGCTCCAGCGAGCACCTCCAAGAGCCTCCGGTGATCGGCCCCGGCAGAGTCTCCGAACGCCAACAGCCGTCTGGGGACGTCATCCCCCCTCTGCTCGCCCGCGCGTTCCGAGGCGCGCGCGGCGCAGTCGCGACGCGCCCTGGGCGGGGGCAGGCAGCCAAGGGCCCCTCTCCAGGTGCGGATGGGAGGCGGTCCGCGCCTCGAATTCCCTTTTCATTTCGCCTTCCTCGCCCTCCCTACCTCTCGCGTTTTCTCTCGGCCCCCTGGCCCTTCTCCGCCGAATCGTCGACGCTGGCGGCGCATTTCTTTTCCGTCGCATCAAAGTAAACGCCGCGAGATGACCCCGCGCGCCGCGCGCAGTCGCGGTCCGCAGCGCTGTTGCACAAGACCGAGTCGCGGCCCCCGAATGCCCGGGCCGGGCGCCTCCGCCCGCGGCGGAACCGCTTTGACCTTGTCGACCTTGGCCGCTCCGAGGCTCATCTGGGGCGCATGCTTCTCCAACTGCTGACGCGCGTGATATTCGGCCTGCCGCTGGTGCATCTACTCGCGCTGCGCCCCTCATTCTCCATGGGCCGTGATGCTCTTTTCTCGATATCCCGTGCCGCGCTAGTCACCTCGCCATTCGCTTGCTACTCCACGCGGTGAGTCCTTTCCAGTGCGTCGCGAACTTCGGCGGCGTCGCTAACGCAGTTCGCGCTTGCCGCCCAGGCAATGGCCCCCGCCTGTCGGCGAGCGTCGCTGACCTCGCCCTGCGCCAGCTCCACGGCGCGAAGCATCGCGATGCGGTCGCTCTCGGCCCGGACGCGAGCAGCTGCGCGCCGTTGCACTTCGGTCATCACGATATGGTCCCTCGTTTGCGCCGTCTCCAGGCCCCTTGACCCCCGCCTTCTCTCCTCGGCCCGCTGCAATTCGAGGCGATGCAGCGCCGTGCAATTGGGAAGTTCCGGGCAGAGGAATATCAAGTTGCACGGGCGGCAGCTCACTGGGCGCGCGCGACAAACTGCCCCCTTGCATTGTCTTCGATTTCCTGGGCAACAAAGTTCAAGGAATGCTGCGCGCCCGAGGCCGCTGTCGGCACGCGACTCCTCGATGCGAAAACTCGATGCATCGGGGCGCGCCGTGCAAGCAGAAGACGGCGATTCGCCCGATCGGGCCCTCGATGTCTCGCGCCGGTCGGGCCCCGCGCCCCTGGCCCGCGGCAAGCGAGCGCGGGGGGGGGGGGCTCGCCGCGCCGAGGCCCAGGCGGCAAGCGCGTGAAGTCCTCTGCGAACTGAGCGGGGGTGGGAGCGACCCAGAGCGCAGCCCCCGGGCTGCCCCCCAATTCGAGCGCTTGGTTTTCCTCTGGCATCCCCTCCGTCTTCGTCCGCTTCGCGAGTGGAGGTCTGGCTGGCAGGCTGATGGCCTCCTTTTGCTGCTTCGCCGCATGCGCTCTCGATGCGGCCGCCTCCTCGGCGTTCTGCTGAGCGGGCGCAGGCATGCCGGCCATCACCTCTGCCATTCCCCTTGCAGGTCATCCCGCGAGGCTTCTGCGACGCAATCATCAAAGGGCACCGGCGTTGGCGGCGGTTCATTGCTTGACCCATACCATTCGGAGTCTACCTCCGCTTTGTCTGCGTCCGCTCGCGGCGTGTCACGACGGCCGGGGCCTCCTTCTGCTGGCGCTCCTCCCGACGACAGCGAGAAGCTCTTGCTGGGGTTCATTCAGAACGCGAGTCGGAGCCCCTGACGCAGTCAGGGGATTGGTCTCGACGGCGACCTCGTGGATTTCTTCTGAGCCGTGGCACTGCTTTCCATCGCTTAGTGCATCCACCTTCGAGACAAGAAACACAGTCTCGTCATCTCGTGGTGCAACTTCCGGCTGGTAACCACATGTTGCCCATTCATTATGGATTCGGGCAGTATATTGATCGTGCTGATAGGCTCTTGGTCTAAGAATTCTCGAACATGGTCCTCAAAAAGCGGTCCCAAGTTGAATATCGGAGAGAATGTGCGTGACGCAATGGTCAGGATGTCCGTTCAACAAGTCTGAAATTTTGGGTATATGTAGTCTGGCCGGCCGACGGGAAAAGAGGCCGGGCGCGCGCGAACCGTGCCACCAGAGAGCAAAACTAGCTGCGTTTATATTGTAGAGAGAGAGAGAGAGAGAGAGAGAGAAAGAGAGAGAGAGAGAGAGCGCGCTGCACGGGCGCTCGCCTTGGGAACATTCGGCGGCGCGTTTCGAACTGGGGGTCCCCTCAACACTCGGCGCCGTCAATCAAAACCAAAGGGACTCCCCTCTCCCCCAACCTCCCGACCCCCCCCCCTCGGCGCCGGCGCCGGCGCTGGCGGCCGTCAGCACCGCCGACGGCGGGGACGCAGCGACGATGACCAGAGGCAGTCCAAAGGGGGGGGCTCAAAACCCCCTCACCACCCCGGGCGCTGGCGCCGGCGCCGGCGCCGGCGCCAGCGGGGACGCAGCGACGATTACCACCACTACCACCACCACCACTACCACCACCACCACCGCCTCAACCCACCAACACCACCACCAACCCACCACACCACCACCACCATCACAGCCACCACCACCACCACAACCACCACCACCACCACCACAACTCACCATCACCACCACCACGACAAAAACCCGCCACCACTACCACCAACACCACATCTACCACACCACCACCACCACCGCCACAACCACCACCACGACCAGTAGCAAAACCCACCAGCACCACAAACCACCACACCACCACCACCACCACCGCCACCACCACCACCACCAGCACCACCTCCACAAACTACGGCCACCACCACAACCAATTGTTACCACCACCGCCACAAACCACCACCACACCACCATCAAACCACCACCACCACACCACCACCAAACCACCACCACCACCAGCATCACCACCACCCACCACCGCAACCACCACCACCACAACAAACCACCACACCACCACCACTACAACCACCACCACCGCCACCACCACCACCACAACCCACCACCACCACCACCACCACCACCACCACCACCACCACCACCACCACCACCACAAACACCGTTTTCCTCGACGCTCCCGGCCGCCGCCGCCCGCCGCCGCAGGCGCCGGCGCCGGCCCAGCAAAGGAAATCGCCGTCCCCGCCGCCGCCGCCAGCCGCCGCCGACGCAGGCGCTGGCCCGAGGAGAGGGAAAGAGGAAAAGTAGGGGAGGAGGAGGGAGAAGGGGGGGGTGACGACCCCCCCCCCTCCGTCACGGGAAGGGGGGGGGTTCGAACCCCCCCCCCCATCCACGGGGCGGGGGTCCGGTTCCAACCCCCCCCCCCTCCAAGCGACCACAGAACGAGCTTTTTCGAATATTAGTGTCAATGTTGGTCAGATGGCGCCGCCAACCCTCATTTGGAGGGTAAAGGCGGCGCAGCAAAGGTACGAGGGAAGCGTTAGTAATGACTTTCTTGTCGAACTGCATGCCAAGAGCCTGCTAGACTTTCTGGTATTCGTACCTGTTTTGCACCGATGCCAGCACATGGGACCTCTCGTGGGAGGCGGGACGGATGCGAGGACGGCCGCGGACAAAGGGGCCGAGCGAGCGATGCGATCATAACATGTAACGGTCGCACACGTTGGTGTGATGGCCCATGTTCCGGGTAGGAGTCCTGGCCACCCCGCTGTACAGTCGGACCTATGAAAGAAGAACACCCTGCAAGAGCACGAGACCCTCCGAAGCCAAAGCGCGCTGAACATCCCACGGGTACCTTCTGGGGTACAGTCCCCGAGCCGACCTGACCTCGATCTTATGCCTCGGTCCGACTGTACCAGGAGGCTCCTCGAAAGTCGAGGAGGGGAGGTTTCTAGAGGCCCTCTGCCTCCTTAGAGACGCCGCCCCCCGCCGCCGCCTTCTTAGAACCCTCCCCCCTCCCATCGCCACCCCCTTGCGCGCGCCGCCGCGTGGGGGAGAGAAATGGGAGGGGGTCGTTGGCGACATGTGGGCCCTGCCCCCGCCAATCGCCGAATCTCCTGAACCGACGCGAGGCGGAGGTGGGGAACGGACTTCGCCACGTGTGCGACGCGTTCCGAGCAATGCCCCCGCCGCCCATCGACTTGCCCGAATCGTTGACTGGCGAGGGCAGGGTTCCGATTTCGCCGCCGAGGGGGGGGGGGGCACCGGCAGCAGCGCGCCTCCAGCACGCGCCGCTCGGACTGCCACGCCCCCGCGCTGGGGCGCTTTCAGGCCGCCCTGCCTCGTGTCCGCGTGCGCGTGCCAGCCAGCGGGGCGGTCAGGGCGCCCGCCGCGGCCGGGCAGGAAAGCGGCCGCGGATGGGGGGGGGGACTCCGCCTCGATGCCTGCCCGCCACCGTGCCGCAGGCACTGAATTGAGCGTCCTCGGGTCCCGTCGCTGCTTTCCCTGCGCCTGGTACTGCAAACGCTTTTCAGAGGCCCCGGAGCCCTAGTTGACGGGCGCTCCCTGGCGGTCTCGGGTGCTCATTTTCCTCGCGTGACTTGTCCATGGGCCGTGGAGGCGTGGTTGCAATCCACACCAACATTGCCTAATATCGCGACAGGGTCCGTCGGGAAGCCCTCCTAAGAGCCTCCTTGACTCTCTTATTGAAGCCGGGGGGACCGTCCTAGGAGACTAAGATAGCTGAAAACTATGTTAAACGTTCTGATGCTAGCCTGCTCGGCTTGAGCAGCGTAAGCAAAGGACCAGGACGCCCCCAAAATCTTCCCAAGAGGGCCTCAAGTGGGCCCCAAGAGGTCCCCAATACGGTCCCAAGAGGGGTCCACGAGGGGGAATGCCAACTCACATTGCAAGCACTTTCATCCAAGAAGCCCCCCGACAAAGACAGCATGCCCACAGGAGGCCCCCGAGAGGCCCGCGGAGGCTCCAGCGTGCTGAACTTCTTGCGGTTTGGTTTTTGTTCCCAAAGAACTGCCCCTGGGGCTTCGGCCCGCCACCCACAAGGGACCGCAAACGAGCACAACGTCCGCAACAAATCCCCTAAGACAACCCAAGATGGCCTCCAAGACGGCCAAGATGGTCTCGAAGTCTGCCCAAAATAATCCAAGATGGCCGCGAAGACGGCCCGAGAGTCCAAGATGTCTCCAAGTGCGCCTCAGCAGTCTCCAAGGCGGCCCAAGACGGCCCCACAGGCCTCCAAGAGGCCTCCAAGACGGCCCAAGAGGCCCCCAGGACGGCCAACGAGATCTCCCAGAGGTCCTCTTGGAAGGCTCGAAGAGGCCAAAATCATTTATTTTCCCTAGGTTGTTGAAGGATGTTGGCATTTGTTTCTTTTCGGCCTCCCGACGGCCCGAGGCGGCCCAAGAGCCCCCAGAATGGACCAAAAGGCCAAAGACGGCCCCAAGAGGGCCCCAAGACGGCCCAAGAGGTCTCCAAAGCGCCCAAGATGGCCTCCAAGACGGCCCTGGAGCACCCCAAGAGGGCCCCAAGTCAGCCCAGAGAGGTCCACACGACGGCTTCCGACGGCGTCAGACGGACCAGAAACGCCCTAAAACGGGTAAAGAGGCCCTCGAGAGGCCTCCAAGATGGGCCATGAGGCCTCCAAGAGGTCCTCCAGGAGGGCCCGAAGAGGCCAACATCATGGATTTGCCTTAGGTGTTTGAAGGATGGCGCCCTTTGCTTCTATTCGGCCTTCAGACTGTCCATGACGGCTCAACAGGCTCCCAATATTGCCTCACGATCGCCTAAGAGGCTCCAAGATGGCCCCAGGACGGCCCAAGAGGCCCCCGAGACGGCCCCCAGAGGGTCCAAAGAAGGCCGAAAAAGGCCTCCCAGACGCCCAAGATGGCTGTCAGGACGGCTCTGAAGCGCCCCAAGAGGGCCCCTAAGACGGCCCAAAGAGGCTCCCACGACGGCTTCCGACAGCCAAACGAGCTAGGAACGCAGTAAGACGGCCAAAGAAGCTCCCAAGGAGCCCCCAAAGGCCCCCAAGAGGCTCAAGGAGGCCCCAAAGAGGCCTCCAAGATGCCTCCAGGAAGCCCCCAGTAGGACCCCCAAAATGGTCCAATAAGCTCCCAAGAGGTCTCCTCGTCCTTCTCCTCGTACTCCTTTTCGTTTTCTCTGCTCATCCTCCCCCGCGCCGAAGGGCTTCCACAACGGCTGGGGGAACACATGGTCCAATAGCGTGGCCAAACTTTGCCCACACGTTTGAACACATAAGCGTATCCTACAAGGCAGGCGGCGGCGGTGACTCGCCGTAGGCGTCTTCGATCCGCCGCCTCTGTCGCTGGCGGAGGGGTGCTGGCGTGGTAGACGGTTGACGCAGGAATCTTTTGGCAGGATCTCGGCCGATGCCGCCGTCCACCCTGAAACAATGGGCCAAACAATATTATCAAAGCTTTCTTCCCAAAAAATGTCAAGATGGCCTCCAAGACGGTACAAGAAAGTCCCAAGAATGCCCGAAACGGCCTCAAGACGGCCTGAGTGGCTTCCGAGGCCATCCAAGAAGGCCCCAAGAAGCCGCCACGATAGCCCTCAGACGGGCCATGGGGCCCCGAAGACGGCCCCAGAACAGACCCAAATACCCCCAAGGCGACCCTAAAATGCAGTGAATCCCCTTTGGAATCTCAATGATGTCCGGACTCTCAAATGTTCGGCCTTCGCCCCCCCCATACCATCCACGACGGCCCCTGGACCCCTGCAGGGCCTCAGCAGTTCATGGAGGAGCACTCAGGCTCCAAAGAACGCCCGAAATTGTCACAATGTGGTCCTCCAAAGGCTGCCATACGACTCTCCGGAGGGCGCCCGAGATACGAACATCGTAAAACGATATGCTGCTCAATACATATGTATATATATATATATGTTTGCAGACGCATATAAATATAACTATATATAGTTATATCACAGTGAAGGGTGCAGAGCGGCAACCGCTCTGCACCCTTCACTGTCCCTGGGCGCGTGACTGAAATGAGGTTATGCGGTGCGGATTGTTGTTGTTGTTGTTGCTGCTGCTGTTGTTGTTGTTGAGCTCACATTTCTGACGAATGGTTATTGTTGATCCACCCCGCCCGGTGCACATGGTATGTTTCAACTGACCCCGGGGCTCGCACCCGTTTTTTCAGGGAAAGTCTTGAGCGTCAAAATGCGCCCCTGGCCCCCGAGTTACATCAACATCAACGGCTCCCGCCTGATACTTCATCACGTTGTATTGAAACACTACGCTCTCGCGCGGGACTTCCTCACAAGTTATGCAGAACAATCGCGCTCTCGCGAAGGACTTCCTTGCAATGCTTTCAGGCCACGCCCTCGACTTTCTAGAATCACGCTCTCGCTGTGGATGTCCTCAAGACTTACTCGGAAATCGCGCTATCGCTCGAGACCTTCTCGCGATTCATTCAGGACGCATTCTTCAGCAACCCGCCTGCTCGACCTGGCCGCCTCCTCCCCCCCTTTCGCCACGACGCCCCTGGGCTCCGGAACCCGACCCATACGACCCCCAACACTAATCCTCACTCTTACCGTAACAATTCACCGTAACCCCAAGCCCTAATCCTATCCCCAAACAATACTCACTACTCATTACGCACTACTCACTACCCACTACTCACTACTCGCTACTCACTACTCTCTTCTCATTGCTCGCTGTTCGATACGCACGACTCACAACTCACTGCCCACTACTCACTATCACTACTCACTATCCACTACTCACGACTCACTACTCACTAAACACAACCCACTGGCCACTATTCATTAATCACAAATCACTACTCACTAACACGATCCACTACTCACTACTCACTGCACTACTCACTACTCACTGCCCACAACTCACTACTCACTATCCACCACTCGCTACTCACTACTCCCGACTCCCTACATCGTACTCACTACTCACTACTCACTATCCACTACTCACTATTCGCTACTCCCAACACCCTACTCGCTACCCAATACGCACCATTCATTACCCACTACTTGCTACTGGCTACGTTCCCACTACTAACTACTCACTACCCCCTACTCACTACCCCCACCTCGCTATTCACTGATTTCTACCCAGTCCTCGATACTCACTACTCACTAAACGCGACTCACTGCCCTCTACTCACTAAGCACTACTCACAACTCACAAACCACTACCCACTACTCACTACTGAATGCTCACAGTTAACTGCTCGCACAACTCACTACTCACTATCCGCTGTTCGCTACTTCCTACTCCCTACAGAGCACTTACTGCTCACTACTCACTACTCGCTACTCGCTACTCAATACGCAAAGATTCGCTACCCACTACGCACTACTCACTACCCACTAGTAATTAGTCACAAGTCGTTACTCGCTACTCACCATTCAGTACCCATTACTCACTACTCACGACTCACTACTCAATACCCACTACGCACTACTGTCTACACCCTACGCACTACCCACTACCCACTCCTCAATACCCACTTCTCACTTCTCATTACTCATTACTCACTACTCACTACTCCGTACTTACTACTCACCACTCACTACTCACTGCTCGATACTCCCTGATCACTACTCACAATGTCCTTTTTTCGCGACTCGCTATTCACTACCCGCTACCCTCTACTCGCTACTCACTACCCACTCCCCACCACTCACTATTCACTACTCACTATTCACTACTCACTACTCACTACTCACTGCGCACTACTCACTCGTCGTCGTCCCCCCCGCGACCTGGCCCGCGACCCACCCACGACCCACTACCCGCGACCCGTCCGCGACCCGTCCGCGACCCACCCGCGACCCACCCCCGCGACCCACCCACATTGCTTTAACGACAAAATCGGCGCCTGCGGCGAGCTCGTTGTATGAATTGTAAGAATTAGGCGCCTGCGGCGGGCTTCTTCAGAGCCTCGCAGACTGCCGACGTCCCCACCGCCCACCTCACTCTTACCTGCAACTGGGGGATGCTATCTATTTTCACATATATATATATATATATATATGTACACATACACATGCACATATCGGCATCTCAATGAACGGCCCAAGAGACATCAGAAAGGGCCCACCAAGGCGACAAGAGAGCCCAAGAAACGCAATACGACTCCAAGGTCGCCCGACTTAGCTGTCAAGTCGATCCCAAGACCACCAGAAGAACCTCCCCGACCGCCACAGACGAGCCCCAGACCCTCCCGCAAGGCCTCTACAGTGCACTGGGAATCGTTCCGAACCCCCAAGACGCTCCAAACACATCAAGGCGTTCCAAGAGATCTTCCAAATTGCTCGCAACACAGCATTCGAGTAGGAGATCGACTGCAGAGTCGATGTACCCAAAAATTCGGTCTCTTGTCGGATCCAGGAGAAATGTGTAGAACGTTCGTAGATGTACGTGATAGTATACGTATTTCCAGGATCTCGACGAGAAAATAAATTATGGGGTAAATCAATTCTGTAGTCGACACCCTACTCGAAGCCGAAGACAGCCCTGAGACAGCCCAGGAGTGTCCCATGAAGGCTCCAAGACGGCCCAAAGAGACACCAGGCGACAGCCTCGGACTCCACGACGGCCCTACGACCCTCAACAAACCTAGGGGGCCTCCAAGAGAACCCAAGAAAGCTTTCCAAAGGGCCCCAAGACAGCCCTTCTCGCTGGACCACGTGCTCTCCCCGAGTCGATCGGACAACATTTCAGAGAACCAGGATCCCACCACAATCCTACGAGTTGTAGATTGCTCTGACATTGACTGCAGGCGTCCTGCGCTATCGCATAAGGGCAGGGGGCGGCAATAATTCCAGGCACGCACGGATATTGATTATACAGATCCGTGGATCGGGCGCGTGTGCGTCAGATCCACGCAACGGGGAAATCAACCAACGAAGCATCAAGCCCAAACGCTTGATTTGGCGATGGGACGCGTCGATTTTGAATGGAAGCAGGACCCGTTGTTAATCCACGCGCCTGTCTGTGCTTGGATTCCCTCGAAAAGGCAGGGGGCGGCGATGATTTGCCGTAGGCGTCTTCGATCCTCCGCCCCCTGCCGGTTCACCACAGGGTTGCTCGGCGTGCTGAGTTGTCGGGTGCCTCGGGCCCGCTCGAAAGGCTCTCCACAGGGCCCTTCGGCCGCTGGCGCCGAGCCACGAGAATCTCTCGACTGCTCCTACGACCACAGACACCACCAAGGCGCCGCCGAGAGGGCGCCAGGATGGCCAACGATGGCACCAAGACGACACGAGAAGCCTTCAATACCTCCCCGCTCCGACTTAGACATTCTTTCGTGACGTGGGCGCCCAGGGATCTCGACACAGTCCCCGAGGCCAGCTCCTCATCAAAAGTCAATTTTGTTGACGTGAAGAGGCCCAGGGACCCACAAATATATCGACGCAAATCCCAGTATTTCCGTATAGTTTCTGGATTTTCGTCTTCCCCCACGCGTCCCAGATTTTCCAATGTATTCCTGGGGATCGACGATTGTGTCTGTGGGTTTAATCACCTCCTGATGACGGCCCTGCAGATCTGAAGGAGCGGCCTCCTGAGGCCGCGAGCGTGGAAGCAAAACATCGGCCACAGCGAAGTGCTCTGCGACGCCTGGATCTGACGTCTGGGGGCGTCGGCGGTTCGCCGCAGGCGTCTTCGACAATTCCCCCCAAACTTTTTCACGTCGGCGGCGAGGCAGAAGTGCTGCTCCAGCGGCCAGCGATCAGGGGCGACGGAGAGGCGAATTGGCCGGCGTGCAGTAGGGGGAAAAAAGGGGGACTTGGCGGCCTTGGAGGACAGGAGGAGAAACACCGGATGATCCGATGTTTGTTCCATCCGTGGGCCCCGAAGGCCTTGACCCCTTCCCTGTAGGCAGCGTTCCGTCCCAGCGGGATTAGGCCAATCAGTCCGCGGGATGTTTTAGGTGCTCGTTCTGGGCACCTGCATCGAGCCACTCGCTCCACTCATGCGTCGATGCTGCCTGAAAACGTCCGTCGACTTGAGTCGACCCTGAACTGAATCAATTAGAGTCAAACTGCCCGGCGGTCGGAAGACATAGTAGGAAGGCGTTGAAAGTAGATTGGGTGTCCGCCCGCCCCCTGAGGAGGACGAGAAAGGAGAAGCCAGTCGATCATTGAAGGAGGCAGGCACCTAAAGGAGATGGAAATATGGGAATCGAAAAATATCTACTTTCAACGACCGATGGGTAGAATCTAAGAGATCCACCTGGTGGGCCACAGAAACATGATCAATCAGCACCGAATCAGGACATCGCATCGAGTCGGGATGTGCATCAGATCGGGCTCCATCGGCGCAGGGCCGAGATCGCACCGGGTCGGCTTCGCCAGCATGCACAACCGCACCGTGCAGCCCTCGGGCCGCATCGCATTGCCGGGAGAGACCGAAGTCAAATCGGCTCGGGCCGGGCGAACTCGACATCGAGGCCCCGATCGGTCGGCCCGAAATGAGCCCTGGGAAGGTCCCCCGAACGAGCGGATGAGATGTCTATCGGCGGCGAGCGAGGGGGGGAAGTGAGAAGCAGAAGGCCTTCTCGGAAGGCGGGGGCTTCTCAGAAACCTTCGCGACTTCTGAAGAGTTGTCCACGTCTTCGGGGAAGGCACAACAACTTCTCAAAAAGGCCGAGGACTTCCGAGCCTTCTGGCAACACGTGGCGTATTGATACGGAGCTCGACACGTAGACTGGAAGCGTTGGTCTGGCGCGATGCGTTCGCCAAAACGTGGACCAACGCGCGCCGAGCCAACACGCACCGCGCTCAGGACGGACGTTCTGAACACGGTACGTGTTGCGCTTCGCAACGGGCGCATCAGGGCAGCCAAGTCCCCCAAGCGAGCAGCAAAGATGCCTGGGCCTGGATCGCCAGCCGCACGGGCAGGCAGATCACTCCTGCTTGGCCGGGGCGACGGCCGCGGGCGCGCCGCGGGCCGCTGGCTCGTCGGGAGCCTGCGGCCGCGCCGAAGCGGGGGGGGGGAAGCGGCTCGGCGGGAGCCTCCCGGCCGCGGCGGCGGACAAGACAAGACAAGACAAGAGCACTTGCGAGCCAGTGGCCCGATGTCCTCTGAGGCGAGCTGTATCAGCGGGCCGTGAGTAGCTAGTTACTCTCACCAACGTCGTTCGCTCCTGGCCCCAAGACTGTGGGTGCACGAACGCGGTGGCAACGTTGTGAAGGAGCCTTGCGTATTGACCTCGGCCTTTTTGACCTCGCGTTCCGTTGTTCCCCAATCAAAGCTTGCCTGTAGGGGTCGTATCGGAGTCATATGGTTAGGTGAGGTTCGTCGCCGATTTCGGTGGCCGGACTGGGTGCCCTTCTGCACGGGCGCCCGGGTGCCCAAGGGTGCCAAGGGGTGCCCAGGGGTGCCCGGGTGCCCGGGTGCCCAGGGGTGCCCGGAGATGCCCGGGAGTGCCCGGAAGTGCCCGGGTGCCCTGGTGTTCTGTCGCCCTATAGCCCTATAGCCCTATAGCCCTATATAGCCCTATAGCCCTAGCCTTATAGCCCTATAGCCCTACAGCCCTATAGCCCAATCGCCCTACAGCCCTATAACCCTGATATCCCTATACTCTAAGACCTGATTGCTCATATCGCCATACAGCCATGCAGCCCTATAACTCTATATGCCTACAGTCCTATAGTCCTACAGACCTATAGAGCTATAGCCCGATGGTCCTATAGCTCTATAGCCCCACATCCCTATAGCCGTAAAAAGATTCAGAATTGTTTTCTTGGGTGTCATTTCACATATTCATGGTGATCTACAATGTTCTGCACAGGGCTACGCAAACAAAATTAACGCTGTATTTGATGCGAGCTCTCAATCCCTGCATTTCCACACGGGTGCAACGAAATCCCACCAGTCTCTGGGCGTGAGTTGTTCCGCGAGTTTCCTTTCCCACCCCACATGAGGGAATGTAAACTCTACGTCTTGACCTCGGCCCTAAAGGGATCGTGGAAACCCTGCAATCTCTGCGTTTTGCCCTCGGGTTCTACGAGCCCTGCGCTCTCTGCTCATGCGCGCTATACACGAGTCCTCGGCTGGAGATGGGTGTGTGGCGTTTTTTTTGCGTTTTTTCCCATCAAGCTCTACAATAGGCTCTTATAATTAATCCGGGCACGTCTTCCAGCAATCGGGGGTAAACATAACATTATACATAGTCTAACATGTTTTGGCACGAAAACAAAGCCGTCACGAAACACATCATAAACGTGCTCCACCAAATACGTTGGACCCAAACGAAATGCCCGTTAAAGGACTGCCTCGTTTTCGTGATCCCCCCCTGCAAACGAGCGCGCGCGTGTAGGCGCACGGCACGGAGCAACAACAGGCGGACACATACAAGCTTCATGCCGCTAAGGGGCCACTTGAGTTCCCAGGCCACTTTGACGGCGATCCTCTTGCGGGTAAAAAGGAAACCACCAGAAAATCCAAGCGGCATCGGCAGAGGGCCACATGCGATTCCAAACCAACTTGGCGGCGATCCCCTTGCGGACACTGCATAAACCACCGAGCGAACGCGCGGGTAAGCACATAGTATGGCCATAGCAGGCGGACACGTACAGGCCGCACGTTGAGCGGAACATCCCATCTGCAACCACCAAGCAGGTGCGTGTAAACGCATGGATTGGCGCACCACCACACGTGCACGTACAGGCCGCATGTCAAATGGGAAATCCAATCGGCCACCTGAAAAGGATCAACGTGCGCTTCCAGACCAACATAGCGGCGATCCTACTTCGGACAAGATAAACACCGCCAATCGGGCGCGCGCGTAGACGCATTGTATGGCGCACCAGCAGGCGGACGCGCACAGGCCGCTCGTTACATTGGAAATCGGATCTGCAACCGCTACGGGGCCATTTGAGCTTCCGGGCCAGCATGGCTTGGGCGCCCGAGTTATCCGGGGTAACTCGGGTCCAGGGTAACTCGGGTTTGGATTCCCGAAAAAGGAACCCGAGTTAGCCCTGACCCGAGTTACCCCTGATGATTCGGGGCTCTGGACGCCCGAGTTATCCGGGGTAGCTCGGGTCCGGGGTAACTCGGGTTTGGATTCCCGAAAAACGAACCCGAGTTATCCCTGACCCGAGTTACCCCTGATGATTCGAGGCTCTGAATGGCGGCGATCCTATTGCACGGAGCACAGCAACCATCAATCCCGCGCGGCGGCATTTGTTGTGGCGCACCAGCATGCGGACACGCACGGGCCGCATGCGAAGCGGGAGATCCACTTGGTAACAGCTAAGGGGCCACTCGAGCTTCCAGGCCGACATTGGCGGCGATCGGACGGCGGACAATACAGGAACTACCTAGCGAGCGCACGCGCGAGCGCGCTCGCAGGCGCATTGCATGGGGCATGCACTGGCGGACGCAGACTGGCCGCGTCTTAAGCGGGAATTTCAATCGGCAGCAACCGAGAGACCACCTGAGGTTCCAGGCCAATACGGCGGTGGACAACGCAAGAACTACCACTCGAGCGCGCGCGCAGGCGCTTTGCATGGAGCACCAACATGCGGACACGCCTTGGCCACGTGTCAAAAGGGAAATCCAACCGGCAACTGCCAAGGGGCGACATGAATCCCACCAGCCCTTTGGGCGTGAGTGGTTTAGAGAGCCCGCTCTGTCCTCAACCCCCCTTCTTCCCCTTCGGGGAAGGGTTTACCCCTCCCCCTACCCCCTCCCCCTGGACCTGGAGAGGGGGTTTCGCGGGTCGTTGGAGGGGTCTTTTCCGACTCCTGGGAAGGCTAAAAAACGACGACCCTCACGAGGATTCTGGCCCCGATGGGGGGACGGAGATAGGCCCCTCTCCTCTTCTTGGAAGCCAAAATCATTGATTGTACTACGGTTTTGGCCCCATTTTGGCCTCCTGAGGGGGCCGCGCTCATCTGCCTTCATAGTAAAATCATTGATTGTACGAAGGCTTTGGGCTCATTTTGTCCTTCTCAGGGGGCAGCGCTCCTTTGCGCTTCAGAGGAGGTCGCAAGAGGCCCCAAGATGGCCCCAAGAGGCCCCCAGGAGCCTCCCAAGAGGCCTCCAAGAGGCCTCCAAGAGGCCCCCAAGAGGCCCCCAAGGCCCCCAAGAGGCCCCAAGAGGCCCCCAAGAGGCCCCCAAGAGGCCCCCAAGAGGCCCCCAAGAGGCCCCCAAGAGGCCCCCAAGAGGCCCCAAGAGGCCTCCAAGAGGCCCCCAAGAGGCCCCACGAGGAGCCCGAACGACTCACACCAGGACGAGGGGCCCGAACGACTCACACCACGAAGAGCCCGAACGACTCACACCACAAGGAGGGGCCCGAACGACTCACACCAGGACGAGGCGCCCGAACGACTCACACCACGAGGAGCCCGAACGACTCACACCACGACGCGGGCCCCGAACGACTCACACCACGAGGAGCCCGAACGAGTCACACCAGGAGGAGGGGCCCGAACGACTCACACCAGGATGAGGGGCCCGAACAACTCACACCACGAGAAGCCCGAACGACTCACACCAGGACGAAGAGCCCGAACGACTCACACCACGAAGAGCCCGAACGACTCACACCAGGAAGAAGGCCCCGAACGACTCACACCAGGACGAGAAACCCCAAACGACTCAAATCACGAGGAGCGCTTTCTCTCCCTCCTCCTCCGCCTCGTCCTTCTCCCGCTCCCCCCACAATGAGGCTGTACAAGGAGGCGGGAGGAAGGAGGAACAGGGGAGATATGCGTGGCCAAGCGGACGCACGCCTGAAAAACACGACTGTCGGCATGCTTCGCAAGAGTTGCTGCTGTGAGATGGGCTGGTGGGGATACGCGAAGCGTAAAGAATTTCCATGCCAATGTGGCGACGATCCGGTTGCGGGCAAAACAGAATCCACCAAGGGGGCGCGCGCGCGGGCGCATTGCATGGCGCGCCAACAAGGGGGCGCGCGCAGGCCGCGTGGCAAATGGGGCAACCCACCTGCAACCGCCAAGGGGCCACTGAGCCGCCTGATCGGATGATGGGGTCCTTTGGCATCATTTTCTCAGCTGTTCCTCCTCTCGCCCGCGCCTCGTTCTTCGCGAACTGTTCGTCGACCGCTGCAGCCTCCGCGGGCCCGCTCCTTGCAATGGCGGCTCCTGGGTCTGCTTCCAGCGCCGCTTTCGCGCCGTGCCAAGACTTGCTGCCCTTTGCAAACCCTCGCACCGTAGTCGCGATGTAAGCGCAGTAGCCCCACTACTGGGTAATAACCACGACTTGAGGACAGTTGCCGAGCCCGGGATGATTCCAACGCCCATGAGACCCATGGCCATCCACTGTAGCTCGACCCAGTAGGCGCCGAAGAAGTAATAACACATGGTGCCGACCATGCCCATGAGGAAGGATAGAAGCTGACGAAGCAGAGCCCCGAGAGCATGCCCGACGCGCTCGCCTGACCACTTGGCGCGCTGCCTCGTCGCGCGAGTTGACCACCGACATGGCGTCCAACTGCTGCTCAGTCGACCTTTCGTGAGGTGGCCCTTGGCGCGTCGGATCCTCCAGCGGCGTGCTTTGCCCTCCCCCTGGCGAAAACTCCTATGGCAGCGGCGGGGGGGCTGCGGCGTTTCCGCCCCCAGCCCTGGCCGCGGGGCTCGGGCGAGGCGCCCCCTGCGGAGCGCCTTCGCCGCCCGCTGCTCAGGGGCGCCCGCTGGGCGCTGTCCGAATAGCGTCAGTAATGATATGAAGGGGCCCAGGGACACGCGAATACATGAGCGCAAATCCCAGGAGCCCCACCACTTTTTTTTTCAAACGTTCTGGAGTTCCGCCTTCCCCCCCAGTTCCTATATTTTCCCACGTGTCCCCGGGGGTCGATGATTCATGGTGTCTGTGTGTTCTTTCCCCCTCCTGCGAATAGTGTCCGTTTGTCCAGGTGCGCCGGCGGGTCCAGGGCCGGCGCCGGGGAGTTGGCCCGGTCAGCCCCTGTCGGCTCACCGGGGCCCCGGGGGCGCCCGCCGGCGTCGGCCATGGCCGGCGGCGGACTCGTGGCCAGGGGCCCCTCCAGGGCGGGGTCGCCGCCTCCTCGGGATCTGCGATCTGCGCGACGCGGCCTGCGGAGGCTGGCGGCGCGTCGCCGTCCTCGGCGGCGCAGCTCGGCGGGCCGTCTGGACCCGCAGGACCCGCATCCGCGCCGCCTTCTCCTCGGCCGTCGCCCTCGCCATTATCAGCTCGAGCGCGGCCCATCTCGGGCCCTCGGCGGGCGGCCGCCGCAGCGGGGCCCGCGCAGAGCCCGACGCCCAGGGGCGCACCTAGCCACGCGGGCGCTGCGAAGACGGCTGTCGCGACGCTGC